CTCGATAGCTACTGCATTTCATCGACACGGAGATTTGAATTCCCAGTACCTCCCATACCCACTTTTATAAAACTTTGCTCTACTATATGATCAACCTATGTGGTGGTCATGTGGTAGAGGATAGTGACTAGGTTGCTAATGTTATAATCTCTTGTCTCACAATCATGGCCCCTCTCTTTGGTGATGGACCATGCGTTTTGAGCTTTGTATTGGTGTGGCATAGTAAATGGCCAAGTCTGTGTTCTCACCCATGTGGAGATCGACTCAAAACTGATGGCCTATTTAGTTCGCGAACGAAAATTTTTGGCATGTCACATCTAATATACAGATACACATTTGAAGTATTAAACGTAGACCAATAACAAAACAAATTACAGATTCCGCCTGGAAACTGCGAGACGAATTTATTAAGCCTAATTAATCCGTCATTAGCAAATGTTTATTGTAGCACCACATTGTCAAATCATGGCGCAAATAGGCTTAAAAGATTCGTCTCGCAATTTACACGCAATTTATATAATTAGTTTTTTTTTTCATATTTAATGCTCTATGCATGTGCCAAATATTCGATGTGATATGGTGAAAAATGTTTGTTTGGGAACTAAACTGGGCCTGAATATAATGACTTCACCACGAGAGAAGGGATGTTGGCACCTCTTTGGTCTCTAAAGACTGGTGTTGTCATTTCAGCATTAAAAATGTCACAAAATTGATCGTGAGTCTGTTAACTTGGCAATTTGTAGAGTATGATTTATTTATTTATCTATTTTAATTCGGATTTTCTCTTTAACCCTGGAAGTGAGCTGTCCATCTCCACAACAATATATAGTGCTTCCCTTCTTGCAATGCAAGTATGTGCGACTGCTATTTATGCATATATATACGCTGTTCGGAAAGTGGATTTGTGAATTTCCTTGTTTTTATATTTGTAGTAGACATTATTGAACAATTATGACCATAAAAGGCTCTTGGACGCAAAATAGAACTGAGAAGAACTCATGGATCATGAGATGAGAAAAAGCCAGACTAGCAATACAGTCAAAAGATGGTCGTGTATGTGGGCACATGAGAGGTATCGGGAGCTCAGATATCGTAGGATGGCACATTCAAGACCCTTTTTGTTCCCCTTGCATAGGAGGGCTTGATTTGAATGGAAGTAACAGCGCAAGGCAACAGGATACCAATCATGAGCCACAAACGCTGAATTTCTCCAAAACGGCTTATTGGGTTTGCACGTGAAGTTAGACCGGATTAACAACGACAGCAAATACCTCATTACGAGAAACTATTCTCAGTGCAGTTAATGTGGCCTCCGAACGAATTAAGGGCATCATATTTTCGCTTATGCTTATGGTTATCAGCCAAAATTTAAATTTTCAACCTGAAATTTGGAGCTGATTTTGAGGTTTTCATTGAAGTTTATTTTTCACCCTTTGCTTTTAGATCACTAAAAACACGTATATAAAAGATATATTCACAAATTAATTTTCGTTTGCAAATATGCCGTTTCGCTTATACGATGGCTGTCATGGGCATTGGGCTGTAGGTCAAGGCTTATAGGTAGCCCAAACCAATCAAGTTAGAGATAAGATTATTAGTTAGATAAGATAAGGTTAAGTTCTTACATAGGGATCAAGTTGGTACCATCTATACAAGAATAGAATTGTGTCTATTATTAATTAAGCAATGAATATCAATTAGTCTAATCTCTCCCTCCCAACAATGTTCTTCTCCCTAGCCTAAACCTATATACCTTCTTCAGGAGCCGACGCCGCCCGGCTATCTTCCCAGTGGTGTTTATCCCGTCATGGCCTCGGGTCATGACAACTTGGTATCAGAGCCACTCACCATGGCTTCCGATGCCGATCAAGTTCTCCGTGTCACAGTGAGCCATTTAGTATATCCAGTGGATGAGTATCTACTTCACTAATTGTTTGATAGCTATGGAGCGGAAAGGAAGATTGAAGTACGCCAGATGGGAACACATGTGGAGGCCTTCGTTCCGTTTCAAACTCGAGCAGCCGCTGAGCACGCTTGGAATCTTAATGGCCGTGCCATCTATGACGGCTGTTGTTGGCTGAACATACAGTGCAAGCAGCCGTCTAGTAGCACCCAGCAGGCAGCGGCAACACCCCTTCCCCGGATCGCTAAGAAATTAATGGCAGATGTGCTGGAATTGAAGGCCATGTTGAAGGCAAGTAATGCAGCAAAGAAGGTGGTAGATGGGTGTACCGAGCAAGAGGTGGCAGAGCAGCAGAAGATGGCGGTGAGCACGTCGACAACTTCACCATTGCCTCAGTTTTCTCTGCCGGAGGCTGGCGTCCTAGAGGAGCAGGATGCTTCATCTCTGGTGAAGGCCATCGGCTAGTGGCATCTGTCATCGTGCCTACATCTGCATCGGCAATTAGTCTTCAAACAAAGCAGATCCTCGACGTGCAGAGCGAGCTGCAGCGTGCCGCCGAAGGCAACACTCACTTCCTCAGCAAAGCCGGTGTCCATAACAAGATGGTGGGTGGGTTATCTTCGGCTGGTACATTAATTCTTCAGGAAACCCTAGGCTGTTTTGTTGGTTGGTACATTCTTCAGGAAACCCTCGGCTGTTTTGTTGTTTGTCGTGGCGTCGGCGTGTCGAGCGAGGCAAGAGCAGGCGAGGAGGTCCACGTCGCGAGGAGGGCGGATCCATTATGATGGCGGTGGGGTCTCGAGCTCCCACTGCTGCCGTGAAGACTCTGAGAGCCCCATGAAGAACCACTAAAACTTTTTAGTATATGTAGATGGTAGAGGGGACTGTAACTCTATCTAGTTTGCTCAGACCCACTGCTATTTCTTTCTGATCCGCCACTCACCGAAGAGCAGAAGCACACCGACGAGCATCAGGCGCCGTGCACGAGGCGCAGGCGAGATGCGCGTCGTGGCCTCTCGCTGGGCTTGAGCCGCGAAGGTGAGGCCGATAGCTCGCGCGTGATCGGAGCTGCGGCGGTGATTGCGGCGCAACAAGCGGCGTGGTTTTCGGTGCAGCCGAAGCTCTAGATACGGTGGCAGATAGAGGGCGCGTATCCGATTTGTTGGAGGCGACGCATTTTCCGGGAGACAGCTCGGTTTCCTTGGGCAGCAGCGCAATTTCAGGAAGAAGGAAAGCAATCAACGCGGCGACTCCATCACCTGGCGATGCGGCTTCTACAGGCGGTTGACACTCGAGTGGCGCGATTGGGCAAAGCGGTAGGTCCGCGACGTTTCTACGTCCTTCAAGCACTAGGTACACGATGCCGTTGCGTGGTGGCGCGGAGGACGGACAGTTGGGCGAGGTCTTCTCGTCCTGCATGGCTGAACAGATTGATTGCGTTCGAGCGCACGAGAAAGAGATAAAGATTGTTTCGTTCCCACGCGCACGCTTACCGAACTACTAAACGGTATGTTTTTTAAAAAAAAATAATCCATTTTTAAAGTTTAAAATAGTTAATACTTAATTAATCATATGCTAATGGCTCACCTTGTTTTGCGTATCTTCCCAATCTTCTCAATCCCCTTCTGCTCAAACACACCCTAAGTTATAGCTTGAGAAAGAGATACATGCTGCTTGCCATCATGCATTGGGCCATGAGCAGTCAGCTTGGGCCTTTGCCATGGCATAGACTCGGCCTTTCACTCAAAGCTTTTGGATGGGGCCCGCCAGTGGTTTCAGACAGCAAATTGGCATGGCAAATTATCTTCTATCAAATTTTATTTTCCTGTCATAGTAATGTAACAAGTCGAGATGTAAACAGCTTGAGTTATGTTAAGTTTTATCTAGGAAGTCATTTAAGTTTAGAAGTCTATGTTGCAGCTCGAGGACGAGCTGCTCAAAAGGAGGGGTGTAATGTCATGGGTATTGGGCTGTAGGTCAAGACTTATAGGCAGCCCAAACCAATCAAGTTAGAGATAAAATTATTAGTTAGATAAGATAAGATTAAGTTCTTAGTTAGGGATCAAGTTGGCACCATCTATATAAGGATGTGATTGTGTCTATGATTAATTAAGCAATGAATATCAATTAGTCTAATCTCTCCCTCCCAACAATGTTCTTCTATCTAGCCTAAATGTACATCCCTTCTCAGGAGCCGACGCTGCCCGGCTATCTTCCCGGCGGTGTTTATCCATAGGAAGTAAAACCAAATTTTCTTTTATTAGAGAAAACTATCGTTAGCATTTTCATAGAGCAGACGGCATAAACGCCACTTGTGGAAATGTTTTCATAAGCTAGCGGCTCTTTAAGCCTGTAGAAATGTCTCCCCGGAGCTGAGGATTTTATAATGAAAATATTTACTATTGTACAGAGTAAACCGATGGAAATAATCAAATGGAATATTTTATGGCAATTATCCAGCTGAATATGAATATGTCTACGTTTGTGTTCATATTTGAATCTATATAGTTATGTACCCATATGCCTTTCTGTTCTCAGTCGTTCTAAATTATTTGCTGCATTTGCACACTGTTTTACAGATTGCACCTATGCTGAAAGTTGATTGAAATGAATATATTTAATATTTTGCAATATTAAAAAGATGAAAATTAATTGTCTTCTGATCTAAATGTAAGTAATATTTCATTATGCAAGTGATTTTTCATGTCATAGTAAAGTTCAACTAATTGTAGTTTGACTAGTTTCCACTTTCCAGGTTTGACACTTCAGGCGTTCGTCATTGCCTAGCTAGCTAGCACCCTCGGAAGAACCATTCTATGGCACGTTTTTATTCAAAAAATTAACTTTGCTGTAATTTTTTTCTGTATTTACAATGATTAATTATACGAATTCTCTTTATTCAGATGCATATTTGAAAAATCAAACTCCAGCCTTCTAGGTTGTTTTGGAACCCACCAAAAGGAATTTGATCAATAATCTAGGAAAGGTAGCAACCAGGGGTGGGCCCAGGATTTTCAACTTGGGTATTCGAAATTAGAAGAGATAGAAAAAAATTTTCAACCCAAGTCTAATAGTTGTATATTACATAACGGTATAAACATGATTTCAAATAGTCATAGATGGATGGATAAAATTGATCATAAATTGAATGTGTTAAGCATATTAGAGCATACAAAATGGCAAAATGATAAGAAATCTTACAGTTTAGAGAAGAACTTTTCGTTTCTTGATATTTTGAAAATGATTGATGATGTCTTTATCCTTGACTTGCAAGAACAAATCCCTTTCAATGAATGTAACCAAGCAATCATTCAAATATTCTTGTCCCATCTTGCTTCTTAACTTGTTTTTGATATAGTTCATTGAAGAGAAAACCCTCTCAACACCAGCAGTTGCAACAGGGAGAACTAACACCAATTTGAGAAGTCTGTAAACAAGGTCATAGCGAGAAACCTTGTTTGTTTTGACAAGCATCATAGATAGGTCTGCTAAACTTCTCAAATTTGTGAAATTCTCATCCTTACCCACATCACTAATATAGCGGTTCAGTTGAAAGGGGAGTTGGTTCATTTCTTCAACATCAAAATCACTAGGATAGAACTTGGCAAGCTTAACTAAGTTGTCAACATTAAAAGCAGAGAAGGATTTGGCTGGGCTAAATGATGCCATGCATCTAAGTAATTCTGTGTTTACCTCATCAAATCTGTTATTGAGCTCTTGAAGTTGCCTATCAATGACACCCAAAAACATATCGGCATGGAATCGATGGTAATTAATAGCATCTCTGAAGAATTTCCTTGATCTTTGTATAGGCTTATACTTCCCATCCATGTCAACAACTTTAACTTTGTGCTTCACACAAAAAGAAGTGACCTTTCCAAGAAATTCTTTCCATCCACAATCTTCTCTCAAAACATCAAATTCTGCCTTTGTGAACTCAAGAATATCCATTGCATTCACAATATCTTGCTCCCTCCTTTGCAGAGCATTGCAGAAGTCACTTGTGTATCCAAATATTTCATTCATCATGTGCAACAAGAAAACAAACTCAAATGACTGAAATACTTGTAGCATAGTTTGAGCTCCTATAGCCTCTGCCCCATTACACTCTTTCCCAACCTTGAATAGAACTTTCTTGATTGAAGGATATAGAAGCATGACATGCATTACTATCTTGTAGTGAGATCCCCAACGTGTATCACTTGCCACCATATGTTAATTAAAGTAGTGAGTACAATTTAGAGATGTAGTAGAGATATGATAGAGGATTGGAGGTAACAAGGTTCTCACCTGGCCTTGCTAAGCCCATCTCTTGATTCAGACCTTGGCCACTCTCAATTTCACCCAACTTCAATGCTTCAATCATATACTCAGCTTGAGCTATACGAAGCATGCGGATCTTTTTACAAGACATCCCAAGGACATTCAACAAATATGCAAGTTGCCCAAAGAACCATGCACAATCAGTATTCTCCTTAGCAACAGCTACAAGGGTTAGTTGAAGTTAATGGGCAAAACAATGTACATAGTAAGCTGAGGGGGATTCATCCATAATTAGTTTATTCAAACCATTAATATGATCCTTCATGTTACTAGCACCATCATATCCTTGTCCACGTACCTTGGATAAGGGTAGTTGGTACTTAATAAGCAAAGACTTAATTGCCTCCTTAAGAGTCAATGATGTAGTATCTTCAACATGGACAAGACCAAGAAACCGTTCAACTGGTTGCCCCGTCGTATTGACAAACCGCAAGCAAAGAGCCAATTGTTCTTTTTGGTAGGCATCACTAGACTCATCAGCAAGAATTGCAAAACACTCATCATGAAGTTCCTCTATGACAAGTTTAGTTGTTTCGTGAGCACAAGAACCAATGAGTTGTTTCTGAATCTTATGGTCTATCATTTGACAACCAGTTGGAGCATTTCCTAGAACCACCTTATTAACTTCTTCAAAGTTCCCAGCTAGCCATTGCACAAGTTCCCTAAAATTTCCTTTGTTGTTAGAATCCTTTGACTCATCATGACCACGAAAAGCCAACCCCTGCCGCAGAAGATATCTTATGCACTTAAGTGACCATGTCAAGCGAGCTAAGTATTGAACCTTAAACTCTGCAGAGTTTGATGCAAAGGACTCACGAATTGATGTCTTAGGTTGCATGAACAAATTGTATTTCTCTTCAGCTTCACAATGAGCACTATTGACAGCACCAGCATGTTTACTAAATCTACTTTTAATGTTCCAATTTCTAAAACCTCCATTAACAAAAGCATCTCCACCATGATTGTTAGTGCTATCTTTGAACAAGTAACAAACAAAGCAATATGCAGCATCTCTATGCACACTATACTCAAGCCACTTGAACTCAGAAAACCATTTTGGCAGGAAGCGGTGCATACCTCCACACTCATGCTGTGGAAAATCCCCCTTCTTCATCTTTGGTTGACAAGGGCCCAATGCAATATACTCCCTTCTAACTGAATCTTGGTCATTGACATCATATTGTGAGATAGGAGTCCTCAATCCAGGATCATGCTCTATGTCATATACACCACCATCATTGTCTTCATCACTTGATGAGTCATCATTTGGCCCTCCTCCAATATCATCATTCTCTACATCAGGCGGTACTGTGGTTGGACTGGTTGCCCCACTATCACTCTCATTCTCGGGTTGACCTTGATATATCACTACTTGCATCTGACTCTCAATACAAGAAGGCTGACTTGGACCAATGCAAGAAGGCTGACTTGGACCAGTTGCTTCTTGAGTTCTCTTCTTTGCAGCAGCCTTTTCTAAAAAAGCCTTTAAATTAACGGCGGGACCATTTTTTCTCTTCATGTTTCAAACCTACAAAACAACAATATACTATAGTCAACCATGAACCATTCCTGGATTCCAATTTTAAATCAAAAATGTTCAACCATGAAAGCATGAATAATTTCCTACATGCTAGATTCAACTATGAATTAAATCCTAATCTCTATTCTTCTGTATTCCTAATCAATTAGGCATTAACCAATAGCCATGAAGGGAGAGTTAGTGAGTTACCTTCGTTGTCTCGCCTCCTCGGTGGAGCTATGGAGCCGTGGAGCGGTGGAGGTGGTCAGTGGCAAAGCCTGGAGGTTGGAGGCAGCCTCCGCCGGTCGCCGGACCGCCGTCTGCTGGGCGCCGGTGCGCGGCCGTGGCGTGCGCCCTGCCGCCCTGCGGTCTGCTGCCAGCCGAACGCGGGTTGCGGGAGCGGGAGGCCGACGCGCTGAGATGCGGGCGGCCGGCGGTCGGCGGCCGGCGGCTGGTGGCGGCGGCGGCGCAACGGGCTGCGGGCAGGGGCTGCGGCAACGCGCAGGGTGACTGGCGAGGGCGCAAGGCGGCGACTCGGCTGGAGTGCGAGATCGGACTCAAGAGATTTGGGAATGGGAACTGAGGAGATAGGGTTAGAATAGTGTTTAGGCTTTTTTTTTTTTTTGGCTATTGGGCCAATGGGCCTGAGGGCGGCGGGGAGGAAAATGGTGGAAGGGATAGGAATCGTTTTTAGTTTGGGCTTCTTTTGAATGGGTAGGCCTTTTTTTCTTTTTTTATATATACATATGGAATATATACTTCATATATGTATTTTTTGTTCAAAAATCTTGGGTATTCATTTGAATACCCATGAATCATTGTGGGCCCGCCCCTGCCCATATATGTGAACTCCCAGTGCCTGTCGTGCTTACATAACGATATTTTGTCTCCAGTACACAGAAGATATATTTCAGGATTTTACTTGCCGCTATATAGTGCAAAAGCTTGCGTTGGTACGTACCCTTGGTTCCTATCTCACAGTCTGAGAGTTCTTCTGAGCTCTATTTTGCTACCCGCCTTTTATGGTCAGGATTGCTCAATAATTTATTCTAAATCAAGAAAAAGGATATCCGTAATTCCACTTTTCTGATTATGACCATAAATTCTAGCTAATCACACATAGCTCGTCAAGGCCTTATTCGTTTAATCCCCAAGAATGAGGAAATGAGATGAAATAATTACACACATCACACTAGATGTGGAATAAATCCTCTCCAAATCCTCCTTCTTTAGTCGGAGAGATTATCCAAATAATGCCTAAAGGAAATCGCCGTTGGCGTAGAGATTGGCGGGGTGGGTTATAGGACCCCACCAAGCATGGTTTAAATGCTGGTGACTATGAAATATATTATAAAGTAAAATACTTATGTGCATCCTTGATTAGTTGGTTGGTTAATGCGATGGTTGCACTATATTAAAAAGAATATTTTATTTTGGCCAGAAAAAAAGAGTTTAGTTAAACAATTACCTCTTTTGGGAAGTTAATAATTCTTTTGGGAGTAAATTATACCCACGGTACAAGAACGGTGGGTTCGTTCTAGTATAAGAACTTGAAATTTGATCATATCGGTGCATTAACTTAGCTTTATGGTGCGTTTTAGGCAAAGTGAAATACCACATTAGTATTCTTTTGCCACATCAGCATGGGACATTGTTGTTGATTGCACAACAGGTGCACAAGATTGCTTCTCTCGCATTCCAATAAATTTGAAACAAACTCCCTATGACTCTTTATGTTCTATTTGTTCTGCATAATGTGTAGGATTGAATCACAACAACTAAGCCAACCAGAGGGGGGTGAATGGTTGGTATACCTAAAAACCGAAACTTTTAGTGGAAATAAAAGTTACCCTCACATTCGACGGAGATCGGTCTGACCGAAGTAGTCCTGCCGGTCTGACCGCGCCTATGTCGTCGGCCTGACCGGTGTAGATCGATCGATCCGACCGCCCTGAGATCGCCTGCCGTGCCTATCGACGTTGTCGGTCTGATCGCCTTTATGCCGTCGGTCTGACCGCCGCAATGCCGCCGGTCTGACCGCCAGTGTGTCGCCGGTTAGATTGCCGAAACCCGGTGAAACACAAATCGAAGAAAAAGTGGACGACGACTTTATTGATTCTCTCTATGTTTACAAAGTGCACCAACAGCACTCCTTACAAAAATTTCAACAAAATTCGAAAATCCTAACTCAACTCTCAACTCAATTGCTCTCAAAAGCAATACCGGGAAGCCTCACGCTCCCCCTCTATTTATACCCAAGGTAGGCAGCCTAAAACCACGAACCAAACTCATAATAGAAGTACTAATCCCATAGGAAACCCTCTAGTACAAGAAACAAACTTTACATAACCAATCATACCAAATTTGGATTCCTTCCAAATTCGACTCCGCATCCCATACACACACAATACCTCCATCGTATGCCATATGGAATCTTCATCAACCATGTGTATTGAACTCTAGCCTTAGTATCCCGCATGATCTCTGACCATCACGGATATCGTCTTATCCCCAAGCCGACTCCCGGTCCATCACCGCAAATACTCTCCCGGCATCCGAGCAGGGCCGGTCCTGAGTTTTCAGGGCCCCAGTGCAAAACTAAATGTAGGGGCCCTTAACATACTACTACAAAACAATAATCAACAATTTCTTAATGTGAAGTTATCGATGACATGGCTTGATAATTAAAAGAATTAACACTATTATGATAGTTTAACTTATATAAATTACACTACAAAATTACAAATATAAATTTAAAATTTTACCAATTGGTTGATCGCAAGCGTCTAGATGTGATGCGTAGGGCATGAGGACGATTCGATCGAGTGAACAGAAACAAACAATTAAGCGCTAATGCCCGCGATGCCATGCGTTGAGATGACCTACATATGTTTATGTTTTGATATCAAGAGGTTGGACAGCAGTAATTAAATTAATAATTGGGCTACGAAGATGGTGTATTGGTGTGCTGATTGCTAACCTTGCTGAGGGGAAGGCAGGCGATGGAGGCTAGGAGATGCCGAGCAGCAGCGATGCAGTAGATTGCGTCGTCGCTGAGCAGCTGGCAGCAGCAACCAGGGAGATTGCGTCGGTGCCGAGCAGCTGGTGATGGCCATGGAGTGAATTACGTCAGCGCCGGCCGCCGACGACACGCGATGCAGTTTCGATTTTTGGCTTTTCGCCAATTCGCCATCGCCCAGTTGCCGATCGCTGAGCGCGTGAGCGTGAAGAGGAGAGGAGGCGATCGCTGAGCGCGTGAGCGTGAAGAGGAGAGGAGGGGATGTGGGCGGCGGCAATCACGCGCGTTTCTGTTCTCTTTTCTCCGCGGGGCTCTTCGCTTTACGGCTTCCGCGCATGCATGCGCTCGATCTGCGGGCCAGGACGCGGGAGGGAGGGGCGTGGG